ATATCATCAGGCCTCATTGGCTGGTTCATATGATTTCACAACTTACTTTAGCTTTGGTTTGCCTAACATAAATTGTGCTAATTTATAAACCATTGCTGGCCAACTAAAATAGGTGCCTTCACACAGGAGGCTAAACTGTTCAGATGAATAAGATTATTATGAATTATGACTTAGTACAATTCATGAATCAATGATTTGTTTTACTTAATTATTCTCAATTCTTTAGACTCAAGTAAGACTCAATTGTGTCTGGGTTCACAAAATTGGCTGACACAAAAGTAAACACATTATGATTTGGAACCCAACACCAGTGGGGCTGGATTAAAATTATTTGTAATTCTTGAGGGCCATTGGTTGGATTTTACACAATTTGCTGATCAACAGTAAGGATCAGTTTCAGTTCAATATATATATATGTTAGGATATGGTGTAAACCTAACAAGTTGTCCAGGCAATATATGTGTTCTATAACTTTAAATGTATTCTGTAACTTTAAATGTAATGCTGAGTAATTGTACTGCTGAGTCATTGTAATGACTAATGACTGCTGACTGAATGCTGACTGCAATTATCATAATTGTACTGATGAGTCATTGCACTGCTGACTTCACTTATCTTAAGTGGATAATTACTAGTGTAAACTGTATATAAGAAGGAAGCCAAGCTATAGTCATTGTTGGACCTGCTCTCATCATTGCTTGACTTGCTGCTTGACGTGGATGGATATGCTACCATCGTGATTTGTTACCAGCGTTGAATTGCTGTTTGTCTGGTAAGAAGATATCTGTAACTTTGGATTGATTTGAATGGCTAAAGACTTGGATTGACTAAAAGACTATGCAATTGTTTTTCACTACAAAGTAAAAGCTTTGTTAAACCAGTTTGTATGTATTGTATTCATTGCTCTCAGTACCGTTTCTCTGTGCACTTACTCTGCTGGTTGGTAACACAACAATATCCTTAACAATATATTTTGTGTTAAACTATCTTTGCTAGTTCTTCTAAGCCCTTTCTCATCAGTTATGGGACAAAAGGGAGAAATTAGCTCATTACAGGCAGAATCCTGGCAGCCCCAAATTCTGAGTGGGTGCCCCATTTAAGCCAGTGCTTTATAAACTTACATTTGGGACTCCCCATCCAGCATGAGATGAGATGGGTGGCACTCATCAAACCAAATCAAATTAAATCAAAACACCAATCTAAGCCAAGTCCAATGCTTGTGCCAGATAAAATGAAGAAATGCTAGTGATGGAAGGAAGCCTTGTCAATACTCTTCTGGTGCAAGTATTCCTGGAATATCAAAGATACCATGAAGGAGATAGGTGAAAACTGTATTCCTCAAAACATTTGGTTTGGAACCAATTAGTGTGATTATGTGCTGCCACACCTACAGTAAAGATGATAATGGTTTTAATTGATGATTTAGTAAAATATCATCAGCATCAGCATCATTGTAGCCATTGTCTATCCACCAAAGGATGAAGGCCTCTTCCACGTTTCCAACCAATACAGTTAAGCTTTCTTTTGTAAATCGGGCCCACAATACTTGCTGATGTCATTGCTCCATCTTGTTTTAGGCCTCTTTTGTGGATGCTTTTTATCAAGTGGAATCCATTATATAGTTAAATGTATAATGCAAATAGCGCCACCCTGTGTTATAGTTAAGTTCTTAGTTTTAGGGTTGGTTTCCTTTATATAACAGCTGTGAAAAACTGTCTTTTCAATTATGTTTTTATTTTTACTTATGTGAATCTAAATAAAACTACAGAACACACCAATATGATCTCTCTCATCTCAGATTTCCAAAAGGAAACTTTTTTTTTTAATTTGATTTATATGCCGCCCTTCTCCGAAGACTCAGGGCGGCTTACAATGTGCTCAGCAATAGCCTTCATCCTTTTGTATATTTATACAAAGTCAGTTTATTGCCCCCACAAACTGGGTCCTCATTTCACCTACCTTAGAAAGGATGGAAGGCTGAGTCAACCTTGAGCCTTGGCGAGATTCGAACCTGCAGTAATTGCAGGCAGCTGGACTTAATAACCAGCTTAATAACAGGTTGCCTTAGACCACTGTACTACCAAGGCTCTTGACTTGTCCTCTTCCTTAGCTCTTTCAGAAAATTCTCAATATTTTCTCTGTTTCTTCTGAACTGGAAGCTACGCAGAAGCACATACTTCATAGAAGCTTTCTAATTGGAACTATTTGAAAAAGATCTCCAACTCTCAGGACCCATCAAACCGTTCTTGGTTTCCTAATCCTTACCAACGATATAGTATGGTGACTCCCCACTCCCAATAATACTAAATAATACTAAATGATACAATATATTTCAGTAAAATTATTCTTGTTCACCTTATTTTTCCTTTTCTTGAAGTGTTAAAACTATAAGCAATTTTTAAAAAACCATGTTCTGATAAAATTTTGGAAAAGCTGTCTGAGCCATATAACATTTCTTAGGAAAAATATTTTACCCAACAGTCAACCAGTTAACCATCTCTGAGCAATCCACATTGTAGTTTAGATTGCTTCTCTCCTATCTGTTCCAATCTGTTTCTTAAATCAACTTCAGAAATTTCTGGCTGGGTGGCAGTGGGTTAGCAACAGACTGGGTGCTCAATGCAGTTTATGTAAGACTTGATAGATTAAGATAGATAGATAGATAGTAAGATAGATCTTACTTCTTGCCCTTCTCAGCCATGCATGAATGAGAATAATTTTACTGAAATATATTGTATCATTTAGTATCTTTCTTCTTTCTTTCTTTCTTTCTTTCTTTCTTTCTTTCTTTCTTTCTTTCTTTCTTTCTTTCTTTCTTTCTTCTTCGGTCCTGGAGAAAAATTAATCTATGTGGTTGCTAAGAGTCAACATCAATTTGATGGCACAATCAAATAATCCCTTGATTTCCCAGATGTTCACATAAATGTTTTCCCTCTCCCCTCCAGCCTTATCTCCTTTTTCTAACATATGCACTTTTTATTTATTTTTTCCTTTGATGGTTCTGTAGTGCCATTGTAATTCAGATGCTACTACAATCAAAACAAGAGGGAATAGGTATTCTTTCATTGCTATGTTCAACCAGTCCCTGGAAGAAAAGGGATATGCAACATCCTGCAGCCAACTGGAGCCAGAGCAACTACTGGAATAAAATAAACTGCTGGAGACCCTTTCACTCTGAAAGACAACATTAGAAAACATTAGTTTTGAAACAAAGCTGGAAAACACAGGCACTGGGTGTATTTTCATAGTGTATTTTTAATAGATTGGGAGTGGGATGAAGATGTATCATCCATTTCGACATGCAAGAAGTGGTGAATAGGTGTACTGTCGATGAGCCAAGGAAAAACTGTGGATCTGCTTATTGTTTCAGATTATATTCTTACAGTGTCTACTGTCCAAAAAAAGAGTCACTGAAAGAACAAAGGTTAGACATCCTGAATTAGTTAAAAAAAAACACCACAATATTGGAATTGGTTGCATTATATGTGATCATTTCCAAGGAAATGTTAACTACAGCAATTTTTTCCATTCAAGGCTGGAATGCATTTTTATTGCATATAAAACTAACTTTGGAGAATAGTGCTAAGGTTTTTTATTTTTATCTCTAGAGTAATAAATATGATTGTACTTTTAAAAAGAAGATTAGAACATTAAAGCTGCCAACTCTCTACATCCCTGCTTGTGAATCAGTTTCAGTGGACTTAAAAGTATATCTACCGTTTTTTTAAAAATATAAAGCATTCTCTTCAGTTTCATTAATGTGCCTTCTTGAACAGTCTAGCTAATACAGGTGCACTGTAATGCTTAGCAGTTGAGTTAAATCCCAGTGCATCATGATACTTAGGCAATATCCAAACAACATCCAAATCTGAATATCAGAGGAGCATGCACTTTCTGCCATCTACCCAACTGATGCTGCTTGTGCGCCTTTAACCAGAGTCTTATGTTAACATTTCTGCCACCCTAAAAAAGCCACAGTTTTTAATGTAGGGAAATCAGCATTTCCAATCCTAAGGCAAGTTCCACATTTGTTTTCTGTAAGAGCAAATTAGTGGAGTTGAACTTGGTTAAGAGTTACACTTAACAAAATTAAAGATGACCAAAGTTGTGTATATAAAATGATGCTGTGTACTTGGGCTTTTTGGTGTATCATATTATACAAACAAACCATGCTGCTGTAAGATTTTCTCCATGGTTTCCTCTGTTGAGCTGAAGGAAGCAAAGGCTTGGCTTAGAATAGCAGACTCCTAGGCTCATGAGGTAATGGCAGCTCTGAAGGTATTTCCAGATTATTTTCTATATGCTTCTCACTTCTCCCCCCCCCTCTCTCTTTTTTACAATTACAATTTATTTTAATCAAATTTATATGCCGCTCTTCTCCCGTAGGACTCGGGGCGGCTCACAGCAATAGAACAACCCGACAATAAGTGAAAATTAAATAATATTAAAACCAATTTAAAATCCCCAAGTCCCCAAGTTAAAATACGCGGCAGATCAGGGAAGTTGGTGGAAGAGCCATGTCTTTACATCGGCACGGAAGGTGCGGAGGTCGGGGGCCATCCGGAGCTTGGTGGGCAACCCATTCCAGAGGGTCGGTGCGGCCACAGAGAATGCCCTCATTCTGGGGACTGCCAGCCGACACTGTCTAGCTGAGGGGACTCGGAGAAGGGCAGCCTTATGTATGCGCACTGGGCGGTGGGAGGCCAGTAGGAGGTGATCCTGCAAATACCCCGGGCCTGTGCCATGAAGGGCTTTATAGGTGAGTACCAGCACCTTGAAGCGGACCCGGAGGACCACCGGCAACCAGTGCAGCTCGGGCAATAGTGGTGTTATATGGGAGTAGCGAGACGCACCCGTAATTACTCACGCAGCCGCATTCTGAACCAGTTGGAGCCTCCGGGTACACCCCAAGGGCAGCCCCATGTAGAGGGCATTGTAATCCCATGTAAAGGGATTGAACATTTTGTTACTGCAAACTTTCTTATATCCCACGAACCCCAGGAAGCTTTGGATCTTCAACTATTTATCTTCCGCCCATTTGGAATGAATTGTTATTTTCCAGCAACAAGTTTGTCATTTGCTTTTTGTTTGAAATACATTTGTGGGAGTCCTTGAAATTCTTTGAAAATGACAGGAGCTTTTGGCTTAAGGCAAATGTGCAAATGACTGCTAGAACCAGATGTGGGCTTTTTAGTCCAATGAAAAATTTTGAATTAGAACCAGGACTCAAGAAAGAGAGGACCAGAGATGTCTTGGCTGTGGGCCTGTTGTATGCAGTCACAGAATATAAGCGGTGGCTGAAAGGCAAAAGCTTGTAAGAAGTTACTGGACCTTTCAAAAGAAGCTCAAGCAACAGAGAAAAATTATTAGGAAAAGGAGAATACGATGAATCTCCTGATGCTTCTGCTGTTTGCCTTACTGCTGACAGTCCCCTGCTGTTGTGAAGGAGGTAAGGGAATATGACATATAGGCTGTGATCTTCTCCAATTCTGTGACATGCCTCAGATTTACAGTATTTCTCCATATGTATCTAGATATTAGCAGTTGGATCCTTAATATGAGATCTGCTCCAATAAGTCTGAAAGAAGCCTTGACTTAAGAAAAGCGATACAGACACCTCAGTACAAATGATGAATGAACATACAGCCCATCAACATTTGAGCAGTCTCTTTCTCTTATGTATGAGATAAAAGAACAATATGTTCAGATTATTTAGTGTCAAGATAATATTCACAATGAATTTATATCCAAATCCCTTCTTTCTGAGATTTTAAAATAGAGAAAATTTTTAAAAATGTGTTTGTTTGATAGATTGAATAGAATTTTTGTGGCAATGTATAAAAGAAAATAATTTCTTTTTCATGTTTTTTTTCATAATTCTTCAGCTTTAAAATTTGGAATACAGAAGAAAGCTAGCATCTCATATAACTTACACAAATAGGCTTATTTTAGTAAACTACTAAAAGTTTTTCTGAGTCTTTTTTTTAAAATCATTTAAAAATTGTTTAAACACTGATTGGCCAATAAATACTTCTTACTGTAAAAACAAGTATTCTTGTGTTTTGTATATTGTGCCTAAATGAGTGGGGATACAAAGTCTCTGAGTTATAGCAGATATTTCATACTATGTTATCTTTTTTTAAAGCTTCATCCAACGTTTTGGGTGAAGGTAAGTAATTCCCCATTACAGATCCTAATAGATCTGGTGTGTGTATGGGTAGAAGATAGAGATGATAGATAGATAGATAGATAGATAGATAGATAGATAGATAGATAGATAGATAAGCATCTCTGTATATATTTGTTTATTTATTGTTCATTTGATATCTGGTTTTTATCCACCTCTTTAGAAAAGATACTGGAAACTTATTGGGAAAGGGGTGACAATGCAGCTGCCTGGAACTCAGTTGGGGGAAGAAGGTTTCCCTTCTTCCAATATGTTAGCAACCCCTTGAACTAGATGGGGGAAAGTTAAGGGTTCCTTGATTTTCCATGTGTAGACCAATTATGGTGTCAAATATTACTACTGTTTGTAATTTTTGAATTTTCAGAGAGCCAAATAACATGGAGAAACTTTGTGGTCCCTGGTAGCTAACTTAACACACATCTCTTTTAGGTGTTAAAAGAGACCTGGCACAAACTCAGTTTGCCTATTAGTCCCCTGATGAATAAATGTCCTATTGGCTAGACACATAGGAATATTCTTGCCAGATAGTCTGGCAAAAACTAAGAAAAGTTCTCAGAACGTGGTGGCCAAATCAATCTGATGGTCTGTTGCAGAAAAATAACTCTCCTGGCACCTACCTGATTTATTGTAGCATAAACTTTGTGGATTAGAGTTGCTTCCTCAAATACTATTTGATGTTGGCAGATCTAAAGCTATCATACAAGGTCTCACAAGACGTCTCCATCTTTAAAAAGAAAAAAAAAAGAGATGTGTCTGGCATACATTTTCTTTGGCCATTCAACACATTTTAAATGATTTTTCTCCTCCAAAATACCCCTGGCATTTTTTTTTCTATTGAAAGGTCTCAGCAATTCATTGACTATTCAGAATATTAGACATTTATCTGTAATACTCAATGATTCCTGATATTTCATGTATGACACAAGATATAGGGAGTCCTCCTCACCACAATTGAGTCCCGATTTTCCATTGTTAAACAAGGCTATTGTTACGTGAGTTGCTCCCAATTTTAGAATCTTTTTTTGCAATGGTTAAGAGAACCACTGCAATTGTTAAGTGAATCATATGGTCTTTAAGCAAATATGGATTTTCCCATTGTCTTTGCTTGTCAGAAGGTCCTAAATCAGTGTTTCTCAACCTTGGTAGCTTGAAGATGGGTGGACTTCAACTCCCAGAATCCCCCAGCCAGCGCTGCTGGCTGGGGGATTCTGGGAGTTGAAGTCCACCCATCTTCAAGCTTCCAAGGTTGAGAAACACTGTCCTAAATGGTGATTGCATGACCTCAGGACATTGCACCATTGTAAATACATGCCGAATGTCAAGCAACCAGATTTAGATCATGTGCTGTGGGGATGCTATGTTGATTCTAAGTGGGGGGCTGATTGTAAATCACATTTTTCAGTGCCACTTCAACTTTGAACGGTCATTAAATGAATAGTGGTAAGTTGAGGACAGTGCGCAACACTGTGCACTAATATGACATGGCATGTTAGTGTAATTTTTGAATTCTCTGGTTCAGGGAATATTTTCACAATTATGACTGCTAGACAGAACCACATTTCCTTTTGGAGAAGACATGATGTTACCCAATAAATGGGTCATATTGAGCCCTTAAATCACTACCACTTGACAATCCTTTATATCTGGACATTGTAGAAGCTCCATATTATTATTATTATTATTATTATTATTATTATTATTATTATTATTAATTATTATTATTGAATTTGTATACCGCCCTACTCCCGAAGGACTCAGGGCGGTGAACAGCCAAATAAAATACATATAATACAAATGTTAAAAAACCATTAAAATACAATTAAATAATTGGCCTGGAAAATGAAATTTAAAACACCTCAAATTCATAAGACAAATTTAAAATTTTAAAATTTTAAAAATTTTTAAAAAGTTTAAAAGAGAGGTTAGGCCAGGCCGGTCTGCTGGAAAAGAAATATTTTGATGGCACGGTGGAAAGCGCGCAGGTCCAGGATCCTCCGTCTCTCCGGGGGGAGTTCGTTCCAGATGGCGGGTGCCCCCACAGAGAAGGCTCTCCCCCTGGGGGCCGCCAGTCGACATTGTTTGGCCAACGACACCCGGAGGAGCCCCTCTCTATGGGAGCGTACTGGTCTGGTCACCAAACAATCAGTCTTGAAGCTATTTATCATACTAATAAATTCTTCATAGGTTTTCAGATAATTCCTGCTTCCTGAATGTAGAAATGGTATTCTATCATAATCATATCCCTGGATAGATAGTTGGACTGTGAGAAGTTGGGGTTTTGATCAGAACAACAGGGCTTTCTTTCAGTCAATGTCCTGTGACCAAACACTCCATCTGAGGCAGGCTTTGGCAACCCTAATGTTTGCTTGCAGAGGAACATACTTTGTACTCTGAGGGGAGCTAAGGACCACAACATTCATGTAAGCAGAGTTGTATTGGAGATGTTTGAGGAGTTTTATTTTTTAATTGCTACTTCTATTTTACAGTTTAAACTGTAGCTTTCACCTGCTTCCTACTTCAAACAGACAGGAATCTATCTTTAGTTTTCAGCAGCAAGCTAGAAAAAGGGAACTCATGGTTTTATACCTTCAGTTTAGAGGAGGTTCCAAATTAAATAGAAGGTGAGACAATTCCTGTAAACAAGAATTTTTAATTATCAAACATTTACAAAGTGCAAAAATTTACACTTGTGTTCACCTTGTTTGTTCCTTATTTCCCACTCTACTTAGCATTTAATTTTTAGTATCCTATCACTTGTGTCAATAATTTGTTTTCTCTAGTGTTTTTTTTTTATTTTTTTATTTATGCTATGCTTCTGTGTTCCTTTTCTATTTCTTTTTGTATGCCCTAGCTTGATACAAGACTACTCTCTTTCATTGTCCTATTCCTATAGTCTAATATCCTTTATGGTTCTTTACATGGCCACATACAACTGTTTCCCACACCACACAACTCTGTCCAAAGTCACTTACCTGGTTCTTGATATGTTGGCTCTATTATTGGGAGAGATTCAGGCAGATTTCTCATTGCTGCTCTGAGCTTCTAAGGGATAATGATGTTAGACTTTGCTCCTGGGTAGAAGCCTTGAGAGATCAGCAATTCTTTTTTTCTGTGCTTTGCTTTGTGCCAACAAGTCCCTCTTCAGCTGCTGCTCTTGGCAGCATTCTGGGCTTGCTTTCTTGCTATCTATCTATCTATCCTGCCGTGTTTTTACAAATAACATATTTTACAAAAGGTGGCAAACATGTCCAATGCACTTTCCTCCTCCTGGTTTCCCCACAACAACAAACTTGTGACGTGGGTTAGGCTTACAGTGCCATTGTGGATGTCCATCATCTGGGCCTTTGTTGTCAGCATACTCCATATGATTGTGGATGTCCCAGCTTCATTGGAGCATAGCTGGCCCTCTGACCTAATACAGACCTCCTAAATGCCACTGCTCTGACTCACCTGAGAGGTTTGGATGGTAGTATCTTGGCTTCCTTGAATGTCTTATCAGCAACAATCTTGCCCAGATGCCATTGCCCTGTTGTTGCGGCCACAGCTCACTCTTCTAGTTGCCATGCTGCTGGTTGCACCACTCCTGATACCCTGGCTACTGCTGACATTTATCTGCTATTGCCTGCAAATGCCAATGTGTTATTTATGTAGCACTTTTCTAAAAGGTGGGTAAGGATGGGTCCAAAAAGGTACAATTGGGCAGACGGTTTTTGCCACTGGCTGTGTGTCCTCGCACAAAAAGCAACTGGAATTTCTAGGTCTACAGGTTTGCTACCCCAAACTAGAGCATGATAGGAATTCTAACTTCAGAAATTATTTTGTGCTTTTGCATTTAAGGCTGTTTTCTCATTTTTTAAACGTATTTTATTTACAACAGGGATTAAAATTGGCCAGGAAAAAGCAAATACCTTTATGAGAAGACAGAAGAGGGCTTACCCATATTCTGAAAGGTAATGCAGAGATGTGTAATTATTCATTATCAATGTAACTCAGAAAAGAGGAATGCAAAGATTATGAAAAGCATTGAAATGCCAGTCAATTTTTCTTCGCTTTAACAAGGCTAATTTAAATATTATTGCAGGGAGGAGAAAGTGCTTTTTAAGGTGATATCCAGTGTAACTGATGTAGTATTTCAGAAGTGCTTATTTGGCGTGTAGCGGTATAAATGCAAGTTGACACATTGCATTCATTTTAGCAGATGGCATACAGCTATTACAGTCTCATGAAGGTGCTGAATGTATGAAATAAATAAAGGGCAAGAATGTTTAAATGTTATGATTATCATATGCTATGGTTTTGTCTCTGTAATTGCTGGAGAAAGTTATACATATTCTGGCTTCTGGTACTACTGAAATGGCTCACAATGATGCCAATAAAAAACTTGCTTCTTTTATTAAGTAAATTAAGGATTAAGGTTCTTTTCATCAACCAACAAACCTCATGTTCCTTCCCATGGCTGTTCTAGCCACTCAGATCTAGAGTGCTATGATCCTGTATCTCCTGTAGCATTGTAACATCTTGTTTCTGCCATGGTTCTGGGGATGAATACCACTCCTTTTGCAGTTTTGATCTGCATATTTTGCTCTTCACTTTTGCCCAAGTTACAGAAACTCATGTTCTTCCTCCAATATCCATCACTTAGGCTTACCTGGGTTCTCTTATTTTTGGGATCTCAAGGTTCTACTTTTGGGCTAACCACTAATTCTCTGGCCATTCTGTTCCTAATCCCTGTTTGTTCTAATTTACATGGATTTCTTTTTCCACCTTATAGTATTCAATCATTTTCTCAGTGGCATCATAACACTGAATCAGCCTTAGAGAGTTAAGAAAAAATAAACTGCAAATTGGTGTTAATTGTTACCAGGAAAAGATTTTTTTTCTGCCAATTTTCAATTTGCTGAAAGAAAATTTGCTTTAGAAATTATTTCAAAGGAGAAAATAATTTTGAAGCAATTCTCCTAGGTAAGAGTTCTGTGTTCTTGCACTTACTTAATTCGGAAGCATTGAAGGCTGTGTGGGAATATTTTATTTTTTACTGTGCAAATCTCTCTCCAGTAATTCCAAAATCCTCAACTTCTCACATTTTCCCAGAAGAAAACAGCCAGTACATTTTTGCCCCATTAGGCTTTTTCAGCAGTGGTACTATGTCAACTCCCTGCGGAGTTCTTGAAGAATTTCTCTTAAATTTCTTTTCCTTGACCATAAATTTGGTGGCTAATTTTAAGGTATTGTTTTGAAATTTATTAAAACATAAATTAAACTTATTTAAGCCCAACTCCAGGTATAATAAAGACCCATTAAGGCTCTCATCCATCAACTTTTTTTAAAAAAACCCAAAACCTATAACTTACTCTCAAGCTGATTCCCCATCTATACTAACTTTAGTTACATGCTTATAAATATGTGGCTAAAATCTAATAGAGAGTTGTTGTAGTTTAAAAGTAAAAATGATTGGCAGGAATAAAGTTAAACTCTCCTTTGTTTCTCCATGGAATAACATTCTAAGTTAAAGGTGTTATTGTTTTTAAGAAACAGTTACTGAGATAAAATTGCATATATTACAATAATTTCTTTGTAAATTATTGGCAAATACGGGCAAAACAAACGCAGTAATGTGTTTATTACTAAAACCCATTTAGTGGCAGCAGGTGATCTACCCATCAATAGTTTATCTCTGAATATAACTAAATAAATTGGGAAGCCTGGAATTGGGATAACCCAGGAGCTGGATTCATGATGCTACACTAATGGGGAAATGTATAAAGGCTTAGCAGGTTCCTGCCTGATCTCTTCTCCCAGCCTGCTCAGCAAAATGAGATGGCACAAATATAGAAAGATTGGCTTACCTCATTTTAAAGGAAATGGCATCATTCACATTAAGATTTAAGGAAGGGATACAGTGCAAGCCTATGAAGTCAAGCCTCCAACGTAGTTTCACAGTATTGCTGCTTCTTCCTCTGATCTTGTCCCTTTTCTTCAGGTACTACGAAATGTTCAAGTCCCCGATGGAGATGAAGCAAGAACAGTGTGAACATTATGCACCCTGTAACTACTACTCTGAAATAGTGGGATTTCCTACAGCATATCGCCATTACTTTGGGAGCATCTGAATATAGTCATTTCTCATCCAACTGGGACATCTGCAAGGACAAAGAGTGACTGGTGCAGGGCAGCTTAAGAAAAACAAAAATAGCATCTTGTTTCTATTTCACTAACAGCAGCATATTTGCTTTAATGGCAAGAAATTAGTAGGACCAACTCAGAGGTCAAATGCTTCCGGTTCGGACCGGATTGCCCGATCTGCTAGTAATTGCGGCGGGTGGTTCGGAGAACGGGTAGCAAAAATCCCTGTGCCCCCACTCATGCCCAGCTGAGCTGCGCGATCATCAGAGGCTGTTTTTTTTACTTTTAAAAGCATTTTTTCTACAACCTCTTCAGCTGAAAAAATGCTTTAAAAGTGAAAAAAAAAGTTTCTGATGATCGCGCGGCTCAGCTGGGATCGTCAGAGGCTTTTAAAAGCATTTTTTCTGCAATCTCTTCGGCCAAAGAGGTAGTAGAAAAAATGCTTTTAAAAGCCTCTGACAATCCCAGCTGAGTTGCCTGATGGCCAGAGGCTTTTAAAAGCATTTTTTCTGCAACCTCTTAAGGTTGTAGAAAAAATGCTTTTAAAAGTAAAAAAAAAAAAGTTGGCCACGCCCACCCAGTCACATTAACCCCCCCACCAAGCCACGCCCTCAGAACCGATAGTAACAAATTTTACATTTCACCACTGGACCAACTTATTATCTGAGAACCAACTAATTTCTAGCAGACCTTGTTAGTAATTCTATAAATTCCAGTATTTCTTGAAACAGGAGTGACATTTCATGGAAAGGGAAGGCAAAAATTTATTAAGGTAATTGGAAGTTGAGGGTCACTTCTGGGGCAATCTAATGGTAAAATTTGTAATTCTATAAAGAGATGCTATGCTAAATGTTCTCACATTTCAAACTGCGATGTGATAGAAGGAATTTCTATAACGGTGGAGGGTATTGTTGACAAGGTTTTTCTTATATCAATTCATACATTTTTATATCAATTATCAATGCACACTTATGTTTTTGTCCTGGTCACAGAAGCATTTGAAATTAAAAAAAAATAGAAAATTCTCATGTACAATGCAAGCATTTCAAAGAAACATATTCCTCAACTATGCTGGGATTAATGGGATTAAACATGTTCCTGACTAGGACCTAGAATATAGTGATGCAAATGTAAAAGCTTGTTTTGGTTTTTTGTTCTCTTTATTACTGCTATTTTGCTGACAACATATGATTATTTCATTTAACGACTAAGGAAGGATGCTGAAATATGGATTTAATTTAAAATATTCTTCTTAACATTTTTAATTTAGAAGATATGTGGTCATAGTTATTGCACTCATCTAAGTATATGGGGGGGAAAAGCATCTAGAATTTAATTTAATTAATTCAATTTATATGCCACCCCTCCCCGAAGACTCAGGGCGGAATGTTCTTAATCATGTGGTATCTTTGACCTGCCCAGTACACAGATGTTTATTAAGAATTACGTCCAGCAGAATACCCAATAGGAAACACTGCATAGGATTGCAACAAGCATCTGCTTTAAAATACACTGAAATAAGGACAACAGATTAATGAGGAAGAACCACTTAACTCAATTACATTTCTGATGGTTTGTCTTCATCCATCCAATTTATCAATTTCCCTTAATGAAACACAGTTGGAAGTTGGTGAAAAACAACCTTGAGCAATGACCAATAAGTAGAGAATAAAATAGAGAAAATAAATAAAGTAGAGAATAATACCGGGCCTGATAGCTTAGCAGACTAAAAGCATTGTGATTAACACCAGCTGCCTGCAATTACTGCAGGGTTCGAATCTCGCCAAGGCTCAAGGTTGACTCAGCCTTCCATCCTTTCTAAGGTAGGTTAAATGAGGACCCAGTTTGTGGGGGCAATAAGCTGACTTTGTATAAATATACAAAAGTATGAAGGCTATTGCTTAACGCATTGTAAGCCGCCCTGAGTCTCCGGAGAAGGGCGGCATATAAATCAAATTTAAATAAATAAAAATAAATTAAAAAAATTCTCATGGAAATACAACTGGCATAAAGGAGGAAGAAGGATTTAAATGAGATGAGTTATATATTGATAGGAAAAGGAGGGGAGGAAGATTTTGCTATAATGAAGCTTTCCTTAGTTTAATGTGCTGTAGGTTTTTATGAAAACAAATTCAGCAACTTCAATTATTGGTAGGGAATGTTGTAGCCAACTGCCAATAAATCCTCTCTTCATTGGGTTGAATTAGAAATGTATCTGCTAGTTACCTCCTAACCACAACTATTTTTTCCTGAACTCCAAGTTCTGGTGTACTTGTTAAGACTAAAAGACCAAAGACTATATTTCTTAAACAATTGTTTCTTTCCTGAAAAAATTGCCCATGAAACAAAATCTTCTGGAGTAGCTTTCTTGTATTTCACATCAACCTAGCATCTGAGGGTTTTTTTCTGTGTTTGTTTTCAAGTTCTAGATTTAACATCTTACTGCTATTCATTAAAGCAGCCTGTTGTTTTTCTGTCTTAATAGAAGTCCCAGAACATATTTCCAAATTACTTTTGAAACACAAATAACCCTATCATACAATCTCTTCCATTCAAAAACTTCTACAGCTATGTTCCTACCCTATGCTTAAATATTTGACGGTCTACGGTATAAACACAAAAATGACAAAGATACAAATATATAAATATGCCATTTGTCTAGGTTTGTCCTAAGCAATCAGATGCAAGAAACTGAATGCCCACATTCAATTTTTGTGAGTCAGCTAGGGGCCCATCCTGATTTTGCTCATATACACATATGGTACATACCAAAATTGGGGTTTACCAAGGAGAGATGAACAAAAAGGATTCAGCCTATCTTCTTGAATCATTCACTTGAACTTGCTTTGAAGAGTAAAATCAGTTTTCATTTTGTGTCTTGTTGCTGTGATATTTACTTCTATTCTGGCTACAACTGGAGAGGGAATTATTTGTCAGACAATTCAAATATATGGGAACGATGGGAATTCCCAGGCAAAAACAAATGCTATGGAATCAAGATACTGAGTATGTGTATTTTGGAAAAAAAAACATGGAGTGAGAAGGAAGAAGAGGTTAAGTGGACTTCCTTTGTCAAATTATTATTTATAACTAGCTGATAACCTGATGTTGCCCGGGCATTTATTTATCCCAATCCTGTATTAGACAGGAAAAGGAATGAATTATATATATAGTGTCAAATCAAAGTAATTTTATTTACAGGCCTCTAAAAAGTATAGGTACAGTTATAAAGTAAATTATAAAGTAAAATGATTCACAAATTCACTATAAGATTCATTTAAAAACTTGATTATAAACAACATTTTTAGTTTCACCTCCAGGAGCAAGAATAAATAAATTCACGGGTGAACCCATCCTTGAGCAAGCAACATAAAGTTGTCCTCTCATAGTGATGTTAAGGGCCTCGAGAGCTTTCATGTGAGCCATGGTGCATTCATTTAATTTACATGTCTTGACTTCAGGAAGAGGTGATGGCAAGAGCAACTTCTCCCTGAGCCCTGATTTCAGTGAGAATTAAATTAGTTAAAATGTTTTCCCTGTGCCCCCAGAAGCATCAAGTAAAATGATACCACCTTGTTGTTTTGCTAGCTGATCCATGATCATTTGGTATGCTTTTTTCTGATCTTGATTTAGAAATGGCTTCTCGTCCATGCTATATGCACTAAGCTGTTCAACGTTGTAGTTCTTTTCTTGTATGTAATCTGCGTGAAGTACATTGTGTCGGTCTTGTAGTGGTGCAGGCAGGTCGAGTTGCAGTAATGTTTTATTGATCATGGCCATACATTTGTCCTCAGGAATAATCAAAGCCTTGTTGAAAATGTCCGGACCAAACATAATTTCTAATGTTGGATTTTCCCCCTTACCAGAGGGAGCCCCCTTGTGGAGTACTGTGAAGCCGTTACCATGGCAACTCTACTGTGGTGTACAGTAGAAGCCATTTTAAGGCAGTACAGTAGAAGCCATTTTAAGGCACAACAGGCTGTATCTTAACAGAACACACACCCTGAGGAGTGTTAGGAGTGTCTTATCAGGGGTGGGATTCAGCCAGTTCAGGCCAGTTTGGGAGTACTGGATGTTAATTTTAATCTGGTTTGCCAAATTGGTTGTTCCAAGGACTGGCTGATCCCACCCACCCCGCCCCGCCCCTCCCAGGAGTCTCCACGTGGTCCGTTTTGGTTGAGGTAAGTGCATGGTCCACATGGAGACTCTGGGAGGGTGAAAAATGGGCCTACCGGAAGTCCAGAAACGGGCCTGTTTCCGGCCTCTGGAGGGCCTCTGGTGCCCAGGGAGGCCATTTTCACCCTCCTGGAGGCTCAAGGAAAGCCTCTGGATCCTCAGAGGGTGAAAAACGGGCCTACCGGAAGTACTGGAAGTCCAGAAATGGGGCTGTTTCCAGCCTCTGGAGGGCCTCTGGTGTCCAGGGGAGGATGTTCACCCTCCTGGAGGCTCAAGGAAAGCCTCTGGAACCTCGGGAGGGCAAAAACGCCCCCCTCCGCCATGGTGCAGGAGGCAGAGTAGACCACGCCCCCATGGCCATGCCAGCTGTTAAATTTTTCAATCCCACCACTGTGTCTTACCCCCACGGTATTTTTTTTCCAGAGAGTAAGTCATCTGTGTACCAAGTTTGGTTGAAATTGCTCGAGGCGTTCCAGAGTTATGCTGGAACACACACACACACACACACACACACACACACACACACAAACAGAGCCATTTAGATAGAGAGATAGAGAGATAGAGAGATAGAGAGATAGAGAGATAGATAGATAGATAGATAGATAGATAGATAGATAGATAGATAGATAGACAGACAGACAGACAGACAGACAGACAGATAGAGTAAGGTTGAATTAAGTGGAATTGAAAAATGAGGATAATTATTAAAAGGAGAAAAAAGGAAATGTCATGAAGAAATGAAGACCACAAATATACAATAAAAATAATTAAGCAGTAGAAGAGAAGTAGCAGCACAGGGAAGAATTAGTAAAGGAGGATAAGGCCATTTAAAGGGAATTGATAAAAAAACTCTTCAAAGTTATTAAGGGGAATTTTGAATAGCAGCCAAACCATATACATATGCCTTTGTTGACACTGATATTATATAAAAAATATTAACATAATCGAACTGTAGATGGGAATACAAATACTGCAATCAGAAGTTTTCTCTTTTTTTATTTGCAACTTTCTTGCTGGGTAAACTGAAGTATATTTCTAAAAGCTGAGCAATTTTCTTCTGGTTTATTGCCTTCTGTCAATGATCAATGTGACATACTCTTCAGCCATCTTAATAGATCTTTGGAAATGTTCACAAGATGGTTTCAAAGTCTGAACAGTTTCTGCCATGATTTCTGCAGCCAACTGAACTGAATCCTTAGATTTTTGTTTACAATGAATTATCCGCATGAATTTAGTAAGTGAAAAAGAACTGGGCACAACAGAAAAACTGTGGGTTTTCTTTTTGACTGGTGGTGAAGTTTGAGATGAACAGGGATTGGAGTCTGGAAGTGCGTTAGCAATTTCTTCTTTGGTCATGAGAAGTTCACTCACTTGAAGAGAGAGCACTGGCGTACTCACTACATTCCGAATAGCAATCTCAAGCATTTCAGGCAGATTACCATGCTTAATTATAACAGCACAAATGGGACCACAGATATTTTCAAAAACACCATTGTATTGAGAATATATATCTTTTACAAGCCTGATTTTTTCATTAGTGGAAAGGGTTGGCAGAATAAGTTGAGAATACAAAGGAACTCCAATTTTTTCCTGGAAATCTTTGTCTTTCAACTCTATTAGCATCTGCATCTCTTTCAGACCACTCTGTAGAAGCTGAAGATTTTCCTTGATGCTAAGGTTTTCCCGTACTGTAATTATGGCTAATTTACTTCCAAGAAATTGGTTGAGCATTCGGATTGCAGTGTTGGTAGAAGAAACAAAAATGTAGACACAGTCATACATATCGCGGCTGGCCTTGACTAGCTTCTCCTCAGGCCTTGATCCACAAAAAATGGACTGCATTTCCATAAAAGGATATGTCACACTGAAATTCAAATTAAAACAATATTTAATGGAAGAAAATCAATTGCTTAATTTTATGAAACCAAGGGCAATATATATTTTATGATGACTAGGCCATACTTAAAATATTTCTGATGTATTTCCATACTTGGAGCTACTACAATATATTTTATTTGAATGGCTAAAAAATATGAATAGGCCTCTTCGATCAGGCCAAACCCATCTTTTTCTCCAGAGTGGCCAACTGGATGCTTTGAGGACCTTGCACGTAGGAAATATTCCCTCTCTTTTGTCTTTGTTCCTTTGAATCTGGAATTTGCAGGGATGAGATTGCCAACAAGACTAATTCTTGACATGTCAAAGAGCCTTGATGACACAGTGGTTACAATGTAGTATTGCAGGCAAACTCAGCCCACAGCCTGGAGTTTGACCCTGACAGGGCTCAAAGCTGACCTAGATTTCCATTCTTCCGAGGTAGATAAAATGAGGACCCAGATTGTTGATGGCAAAGTGCTGACATTGAAACTTCCCAGAGAGTGCTGTGAAGCACTATGGGATTGTATGTAAGTCTAAGTGCTCTTGCTATTGTCTTACGCGAATCTATCCTATTCCCTTTTAAGCAATTCAAATTAATTGCAAGTATCACATTTTGTGGTAATGAATTTCACAGGTTAATATATTCTATGTAAAGAAATGCTTACTGTTACCTATTCTAAAACTTCTTCCAGACAGCTTCATTGGGCACAGTGTTCTGAGACAGGGAGAAAGACTTCCTCCCTGCCACAAGTAATATTATACCCCTCAGTCATGCCTTCTGTCCTCAGGAGACTTTTCTTCAAGCAAAACAGTCCTAAATGTTCTAGCTTTTTTAATGAGAGGATGCAACGCCCTTTCACACCTCCCCACACCCCCAATAATTTTGATGACCTTCTTCTGTACTTTTTTCAAATATACCAGAATTGTATAAAGTACATTTGTAGATATATACAGAGCTGCATAAAGGGGATTACAATTTCTGATGTTCTATTTTCAATCCCTAGCATGTAATTTGCCCTTTTTCAGCTGCCATTGATTGAATTGATGTCTTCAAAGAAGTAGAAACCGTGATTGCAAGATCTTTTTCTCAGTTACAGATAGCTCAGACTCAATCAATGTATATGGAAAAAAATGGTGATGTGCTTCTTAATTAAATTGCACAATATTTGACATTAGTTGTAATTTATCCAGTTTAAAAGATCCATCTGATGACCTTCACAATTACCTTTGATTTTTGTCACCCACAGAAATTTAGTATTATCCCAATATTTGAGTAGCTCATTACTTAATCCTTAGTAATGATAATATATAAATAAGTTAAAAACAGATTCTGGCAGTAAGCAGAGTTAGCCTGCAATACTGCATTCTAACCACTATGCCACCATGATGAGATTTTACCCCAAACTGGCAAATGACTTCTCCTAGAAGTTTTATGTAGACGTTAAACAGGATAGGAAAATGGTCTCAACCCTGAAGTATTTCATCATGAAGTGGTCAGGGGTCTGATCTCCCTCCACCCACAACAACCACCTTCTGAAACCTGCCCACTATGAAACGTGCAAAACCCCTGGACACCATGCTTCCCAACTGGTCTAGAAGAAAACTGTGGTCAACAGTATTGAAAGGTACTGAAAGATCTAGTTTATATGATAAGTTAAATATAAAACTGATCTCAGATCTGAAGAAAGAAATACACGAATATTGTACTACCAGAAAATATCAGAAAGTAAGACATGAGTATGCTGTTAATAAGGAGTGGTAAAATAAAAACACTGAACATATTTTAATTGTGGTTAAGAAATAGAAATTGCCAATATTATCACAAAAGTAAAATGTAGCGGCCTTTCATAAGAGGATGCATAATATAACTTCTATTATATTGTTCACAGAGAAATGCCAATCTGGAATAATTTAAGAACATGAAGAATTTATTTTACCTGTGTTTTCTTATTTATTCCATCTGGATATGTTCCAACACCAATCTTCTACCCTCAGTGGCCAACTTTGATATTCCTAAGGGACCCAGTTGCATCAGTTGTCAATAGCTGTCTTCAAACCATAGACTCTGGTGTTCAGTAGGACCCACATTTCACATATATACCTGACACTGGAGAGAAAAAAAGAATTTCCTGATCAGAAGTACATTTTATATGCCCTTTAGATTTTTATACTATGAAAATAATACCAGAGGTTCTCTTATTTTTCTTCTGTTTTCTTTTGGTCTTTCTCCTACTTTCTTTTAAAGTCCCCCTTCTTGACTATAGTTTTTTTTCTGTGTTGCAATAATTAAGTGTGCATTATTAAATAAGCTACATTAGGAATACTTTGTATTTGTATATTTATGATTGCACAGGTTCAGAAGCAAAAATCACACCAGTTTTGAATTTAAACGATAATGAAACCTAACTTCTTTGGAATAGCATAGTTAAAATAAATAGAAAACATGGCTCAACCTGCCATTTGGCTTGGTAGGCTTGCTTGGAAAGAGATGAAAAAGAAAACACAGTTCAGTGGAGAAGAATTAGAAGAGAACAACTCATCTTGTTGAAATGTTATCAGTGGTCACACAGGCAATGACCTCACAGAGGCCTGTCAAGTGGATTATCCTGCAGGATACCAATAATATAACAGTGACATCATGGGACACAATCAAAGAAACAACACAGCACTTTAACTGCTTCAATTTAAACTAAACAGAGCAACCTCTTACTGTATCTCTAGGTTGCACATATAACCAGCTCTCATAATTGTTTACCTTTATTTTCCTTGTTGTTTTCAGGATGCTACATTTTCAACACATGAAGACTATTTTTGAAGAAGGTGGCTGTCTTTCTTTTCTAAGACTTATTATTTTTAAGGGAAACTTTTCTAAAGAAGAAATGGCTTCAGAGCTGAAGAAGCTTCTTGGATGAGAACTGAAACATCTTCAAAGAAAACAAGAAAGTCCAGTTGTCTCTTGAAAAAAAGCACCTTGAGGACAACCATGACCTGGATGATTGAGAATCTCCATAGACATAAAGAAGAAATAGGTTCATCAAGATAACAGTTCTAATGAAACAAATACATCACATTTATCACTGCTAATCAATTCAGTAACAGAGTTGTGGGGGTAGTCTAATTGACATCATATTCATTTCAATTTGCTGCAATTGTGAAAATTACAAAGTTTAATCCTAAAATTTGTTAAATTATTTCCAGCAATTTTGGTCTAGTGGTTAAGGCACCGGGCTAGAAAGATGGAGACCTTGAGTTCTAGTTCCCTTCTTAGCCAAGAAAGTTGGCTAAGTGACTTTGGGTCAATTACTCTCTCTCAGCCTAACCAGCTCACAGGGAGGTCATTGTGGGGAAAATAAGAGGAGGAGTGTTAGATAGGTTTGCCATCTTGAGTTGTTTATAAAAATAATAAAGGTGATTAAATAAATAATTATACTGACAAGGTTCTGAAATACATACTTCTCCACTTCTATAACATCAGTTTTTCATTTACACACTTTTAGCTTTCCTTTCAGCCTTTGCTAACAACGCTAGCATTCTCCTGTATTTCTCTATAAAACTTTCCCCAACATCTAAGATGTCTTGTATTTGCACATCCTTCCTTCAATCTACATTTCTTACCAAAGCTCAAACGTGTGATGTGGGTCTGACTTGCAGCAATTGGACCGATGAGCACAATTATACCTTTTCAAAGGTGGCCAATTACTTATTGAATTTCCTGTCTTAAAATGAATGTTTGGCTTTGTAGATGAGATTTTAAACGTCTCTTCGAATTAGTCTTTTGAACGAGTTGATTTTAGTTGGTTGACTTATTATGAATGTTCTAAAGTTCCTAGTATTAATGTGCTGCTGTCATGGCTTTGAGCATTTTAAAACTTTTTAAATACTGTATATGCTACTTTGGCAAACTTCATTTTAAAAAATGTCATTTAAATAATATTTAACTTTCCTCAGTCTAGAACTTCTGCTCTCCTGTGGTTGTAACTCTGTACTTTGACATGAGTATTGGCAATGATATTGGTGTTTTGAACTGGATGTTTTCTTCATTGAAGCTTCTATTGGTTCTGTTTTCTGTAACTGCTCCCTGTCAGCAGCATTATAAGTACAAAATGAATGGTCAAGATGAAACAAGGTGGTCCCTTTTTTTTTCTGTGGAAATTTAGATACAAAAATTTAAGTCTAAGAGGGACCATTTTAAGTCTGTAAAGGGACCTTTCTTCACTTACAGCTAACCATAGTACCAACATGGAACTGCAACCTCTTATGTTTTTTGCCATATTCTCATGACTTCGCCGTCATTTTTTATCTGACATAGCTTAAAATTTCCATAACTGTTCCAGATTTATAATCCAGTTGTACCCTTAACTCTAGGAGTTGTATGGTGTACTCTTAACACCGTTTCCCCCTAGTTTTTGTGCAATTTCCTCAGAACTATTCATCTCTGAGCAGGAGGAAAATTCAATTTTTTAAAAACTGGGATCTGCCCAGTATTTGCCAGATTGCCAAGTTGATTTTATAGCCCAGAAATCTAGATCACCTCAAATAGTCCTTGATTAAGTGATGAGGCCTTGGAATGAAGCAAAAGAGAGACAGCTTTCCCTCTAATGCTTCATGGTGCAATCACTCCACCCTGTCTCTCAGTGGTGGGCTATTGTGGAATTTGGGTTTCTTCTTGCCTTTTCAAAATTATACTAAAGCTGCTTAAAATAGCTTATGAGTTGATGGATACTCAGGGGCAGTTGCACTGATAGTAGCTGGGGGACAAAGCAGTTTAGGAGATAGAAGGAGGAAGAGAAGTTAGGCCTTTTATTCTGCCATCTCTCCTAGTGTCTATAGTCAGTTATTAGGAGTTTCTGCAAGTCTGGAATAACATTTGAAGATAGCTAAACCAGCTGGGTGAACAATCTATCCAAACTAGGATTGCTTCCCAATCCTACCCTCTGCCAGATAAGGAATGATTGCTGCATATTTTTCTGCTGGCAGTGATTTCTGGTGGAAGAAGATAGTGGGGGGAGAGGGGGGGAGAAAATAGGAGAATCTATTAATTACTCTCCTTAACTTGCCCTGTTCATGGTAAATAAGGACACTCACAATTCAGAGGCAGGATACTGATAGGTGAGGCAGGGTGAAGGAAATTTTCTACTGGTATACAGTAATTTTCTGCCATTAGACTGGTGAATGGTGCTTTAATGAGCTGTAAACTGCTTAATCCATGGTAGATACCCTAAGACCATGATGGCAAACCTGTAGAGCCCTCTCCGTGGGAACGCCAGCCATTGCCCCAGACCAGCTCCACCATGCATGTGTGTGTGTGCGCTAGCTGGTCTTCGGGTCTCTGCCACACATGTGCGGGGGGGGGGCGGATGTGTGGGACGCACGCACACATGTGCAGAGGGGAGGGGCACATGCGCAGGGGTGCAAGTTGTTGCAGGAGGTTTTCCAGGCCTAAAATGGGGCATGGGAGGCCTTGCGCTGCGCACCAGCACATTTTGTCTTCCATGTTGGTGCAGGCGGCTTTCCAGGCCCAAAACGGGGCATGGGGGGGGCTCGCATGGCCCCATTTGACCCGTTTTGGGCCTGGAAAGCCTCCTGCACCACCTGGAAGCCAAAACAGGGCGCTGGGGGGGCAAGGTGCATGCGCAGGGGACACGGGGCACATGTGTAAGGGTGGTCGCGCATGCGTGGGGGGGGGTGAATGTATGCGTGGGGGGTGGAACTTTGAAAGTAGATTCAAGAGAGAAGGGTGCTTTCCTTTTGAACCATCAGCACTGACCTATATACTCTACAGTTGCTCTTGAAGCCCAAGATGAACTGCAAACTTTGCAGTTGAAATATTAGTCTTTGTTTGGTGATGTCTTGCTTCTTGTTTTTTGTAACGTCATTTTTATCATTTTGGCTGGAACTCAGATAGATGCTTCTTTCTGCACATTGGATCTTGCACTTTTTTTTAAAAAAATTAATATTTATTAAATTTCCAAAGATTTTAACACACAGTACAAAAAGAAGCATAATACACACAAAAAAAGCAAGAAACACACACACACACAATATAAACAAACCAAAAACAAACACATCAAAATTTCAATACTAATAACAACTTTTCTGCATCAGTATCTCTAGGATCTTGCACTTTTAAATGAATCGAACTGGCTTTTTAAAAAAATAAATAAATCCAAATTTCATAGTACAATCATTTGCTGCTTCTGGGCTACAGATATTTGGTTTCATTTATGTTTGATATCTCTGGAAAAAAATGTGATTCAACTTTGCAACATAACATTGATAGTTGCTAGACTTGATGCATTTTTCTAACAGCAAGTAGGGTTAAAGTGGGGTTGTTTCCCACAGAAGCAAATATTACGGAATTGTTGCAGTTTCGCATATATAAATGTCAGGCTGAACGCAATGCCTATTTTTCTTCTTAATCGATAATAAAAAATGTTATCTTAAAATGCTGGGAACACAACAGCAGCAATGTCTGTCTGTCTATCATCTATCCATCTATCTATCTATCTATCTATCTATCTATCTATCTATCTATCTATCTAAAGGATAATAAAAACCAGTGCAAAAAATAGTCAGCGAGCGCCTTCTGCCGTCCCTGTGGGATCTAACCGCATGCCAGTCGCGCTCTCACAACTGCTTCGCTCTGAGCCGACAACTGCAGAAAAAAAAATAATGGACAATTAACGCTAGGAGGCACAGTCGAGCTGCGTCGTTGCCATAGAGATAGGAAAAGCGCCTTAGCTGTTCGGTTTAAGGCAGCGCCGCTTCTCTGATTTAATCCGTAGAATATTGTAAAATGCTCCGCGTGGGACTCGAGGATCACGTTGGAAGTATCGAAGTAATCCAAGAGTAGACCGCTAATCTCTCGTTAGAGAAGATGCCTCCTGATTCTTTTGTGTTTAAAACCAATCCGACTTTTTAACAAAATAAAACATTTTAGGATAATGGTAATGGTTCAAGAATATACTGAATCGATTTGTTATTTTATAAAAGCAAAGGAAAGATGCTAATAGGGCCCTGGGAGGAGGGGACACAGTTTTCTGGGGCTGGAAATTTGGGAGCTTTGCTTGAGGCAAAGCCCCTCTGTCAGAGATGGGGGACAGGAGGAAATACGCTTCCTGAATTAAGTTTGATAACTATTCAAATTCTGCAGGTAGGACTGTTGAAACTCAGGAAATTGCTGACCTGAGCTTTTTGCAAGGGTAGGGGAAGCCACAAGGAGAATTGCAAGTGGTACTTTTCTAGCAATCTTTCCTTGCTTTGTCTAATTGCAGTAGAAACATGTTCCAACAATCTTCTTTTGTTTTTGCTATGTGCTTGTGACATTGCCTTCATTTAAGCTCCAGTCCATGCCTGATGCAGCCTTAAACTGTCTTTACCTGGCCTGGGGTTATAGGAGTGATTTCCCCCTTACCCAAATACTGATTTTGTTTTAAAGCCAATCTAATCCACTTCACTAAATGGTATGTTAATGATGCAGTCAGTGACTTCCACAGAGTGAGATTGCCTTATTTGCCACCTGAAGCTGATGCAGGTACAGATTTTTCTGCTTTGGGTAGCAGAAATGTCTTCTCCTTCCAGGCCTCTGACAGCTCTTGGCTGCATGTCATTTTGATTATCAGCTGACCAGAGAAATGCAGGGTTGGGAGGGCATCAGATTGCCTAATGAATTATGGGAAACAGAGCTAACTCTTTTTTTTTTTTGCAGGTTCATGCACACTATCAATGTTTTTTTTGTTTGCTTATAAAATACAAAAACAAATAATAGGAAAAATAGGGGAGGGAAAGGAAAAGGGAAGAATGCAGACAAGAAGGGAAAAAGAAAAGGCATTGACTTCCAACCCCCTTGGTGCAGTATAATAAGATAGTAACATACAATCTCAACTTTTTACTTTCACATAGTAATATAAACTAGCCATTTCTCCATTTCTATTGTAGAAAGTTAGCACCCACCCCTCTCCTAGAAGAATGAAATATTCTAGGAAATATTAGAAAGACAGAATATTATATTTCCCTGGAGGAGAAATATGTTTTTTGAGACAGGAAGCAGACTCACTCTTAATAGCCCCTACCCTCCTCAATAGTCCACAGCAGATGTCAGCACTTAAGATATAAAGAGATGGCTAGGTCTATTCATAAGCAAATACCCTCACTCAAGATCCACAATAGGAATTGCCCAAAGCCCCTTCATTACATCACCCAGCAAGATTCAACCAAGCCTGGGATACAGACAGCTTACAAAATTAGCTAAGACCCCCGCCCCCTGGGAGTCTAATAGCAAATCGGATACTTGCCCTTGCCACAGGAACAGGAAGCTCAAGTTCAAAGACCAAGAGAGGGTATAATTAATTCACTCTCCATTCCATGTGTTCAGCTGTCCAGGATCAAAGTTTCATGTTTTCCACCTCAAGCACAAAATCCAGAAGCGGTTTCCGGGTAGAAACAAAAGTACTTTTAATTTTTTCTTTTATCAAAGAAGTCAATTTAGCCATCTCTGCTAACTCCATCAACTTTTGCAGCCATTCTTCCATTGTGGGGATTGAAGTGTCCTTCCATCATATTATCAGTGTTTGGATTGCTTTGTGGTACGGATTTAAACTTTAAATTTGAATCCAAAGGGAGTTTATCATTAGATAATGCTGGTAGTCAATTTCTCTTTAAATGCCCTCATGCAAAACTCCTGCACATAAACTCATTAGGTTTTTACAGGGATAAATACAAGGGTCTAATCAATTGTCAGATCTCATAACCCAGGTCTACTCCCAGACAATACAATATTAAGGGGAGTAAGCAGGGGATATATTCCCACTGGTTGATGATTTAATTTAATTTAATTTAATATTTAAATTTATATACCGCCCTTCTCCCGAAGGACTCAGGGCGGTGAACAGCCAGAAGTAAAAAACATCAAATACAAAATATAAAAACAATTTAAAAATGAATTAAACAATTTGGCCCAACAGTTAAAATCATCCATTAAAAATCCAAATTAAAATACACAATTGGAGAGATTAGGCCAGCCCGACTTGATGAAATAAAAAGGTTTAGAGGGCCCGACGGAAAGTACGTAAGTCCGGAATCATCCGTATCTCCGGGGGGAGCTCGTTCCAGAGGGCAGGTGCTCCCACAGAGAAAGCTCTCCCCCTGGGGGCTGCCAGTCGGCATTGTTTGGCTGATGGCACCCGGAGGAGCCCCTCTCTGTGGGAGCGTACTGGCCGGTGGGAGGTTCTCGGTGGCAGAAGGCGGTCCCATAAATATCCCAGCCCTAAGCCATGGAGCGTTCTAAAGGTGGTCACCAACACCTTGAATCGCACCCGGAGGACCACTGGGAGCCAGTGCAGCTCACGCAGGAGAGGTGTTACATGGGAGCGCCATGACGCTCCCATAATCACCCGCGCAGCCGCATTCTGGACCAGTTGGAATCTCCGGGTGCTCTTCAAGGGGAGCCCTATGTAGAGAGCATTGCAGTAGTCCAGGCGGGAAGTGACGAGGGCATGAGTGACTAAGGAGTGCGTAAGGAGTCCCGATCCAGAAAGGGACGCAACTGGCGAATCAGGCGAACCTGATAACCCCCCCCCCCTGGCCACAGCTGTCACATGCTCTTCTAAAGACAGTAGTGCATGATGATGATGATGAGATATGAGAGGAGGAAGATAAACCTTGTAAATTGTGAATTATCTTTAAAGTACCATTTATATTTTAACAAGGGTAGCACCACTTGGCTAGCATCATGCTTGTGGCAGGTTAGAGATTGGTATTGGAGGTAGAAAACATAGGTTGGTATAAATTTATGCTGGGGCAGGATGTGGTCGATAGGCCTTAAGCTTTGGGGAGTCCCAATAGACATTCTTCCAGAAACTAGTGTTTTCTCTTTTCAGTGGCTAATGCTTTTTAACTACAGTGCAGATCATTCTCTCCTAGGAATAGTAGCGTTTTTAAAACTTCTCTTCCATAATTCAAACGTTTGCAGAAGTTGAACGTTTGTGTCTTCTTTTTTGCCTTTTTTTGTGGCTCCTAATACAGTAAATGCATTACCTGACTACAGAGGTAGATTTTTTTTTCTGATGGAGCAAAAATGAACTATATGGAACTATACTGAATAAACTAGGGCTGCTGTATATGGACCAGATTTTTGTACAAGTCCTACATAGATTGTTCATGCTGTTATGAATGTAACTGAAATGCAGAAAGCATTTATCAAATTGCAAATCTAACATAAATTAGTGTCTGTATTATTATGAGTACTATGCTACAGTTGCAGGTGGCTTTAAAAAGCTCGGAGTCGCAACCTCTTTAACTTGAGCCCTTGTTATTTTGCAGTGGTGTTAATCTCAGATATTTGTCACTTTTCGAATTGTATACAATGTGTATCTGAATAACCTTAAACATTAATCCAACAATAAATACCTTAAAGCAAAATAAGATCGTGTCTTAAAAACCGTAACGGCTATCCCCGTCGCTATCTTTTCCCTGTTAACACTTTTAAGTTATGCACCGAAGATGGTGTACAATTAACCCGGAAATTATGCGCTAGAGGCAAGTTTATCGAGTCTATGCGACCAAACGTTACTCATTTGGCCGGAAGTCGGCGCCGTGAGAGGATCTCTAGGCCGCTCTCGGTTTTGTTGGTACAGCCGTGAAATCGCGTGGATTTTTAAGATGGCGCCTGAGTAGAAAACTCTCTGGAAGCGGATTCGATTTCCACCCCACCCCCCCCGGGCTGGGCTAGCTGGTTGGAGGACTCCGTTTGAATGGGCTCTGTGGAAAACGTAGCCCGTAGTTTTGCCTTGGTGGTTGTCTGGGTGGTTTAGGACTTTCGGCCTTGGCGGCAGGTAAGGAAAATAAGGTAGAAAAGGTGATTTTTCTCTTCGGGATCTTCTCTGTCCTAAACAGTTACACTCTTTGCCCATCTAGGGTTGTTTATGTTGCACTTTCCGTTCTCCTGTCTAGATTTACAAATATTTCACGCTAGACTTGATTAAATATTAATAAGTGGCTGTTAATAGACTGGAGATAGTGGTTGTGCAGTATTGGATCTTTATTTTAATCTTATTCAGATCGTGAGCCGCCCGTTGACAGAACCAAGTAATCTCAATGCAGGAAAAA